ACCTTCTAGCTGCGAGACAACAGTGTTAACCAACTGCGCCACCTTGCAGCCCAAATTCAACCTTCATTTTTTTATTTTTGTTTTTATTTTTATTTATTTATTTGTTGTTTTTTTTTACATGATTTATGGCAATATAACGGTGTCATGCTTCAGTAATTTCTGAGTTCACTCTGCTTCTAGCCATAACTGTACTGCTTCCATGGTGGTGCAGGACTTTATATTACAGTGAAAAATGAGTCTACAGTGAGGAATAATGTGACCGTAGCAAAAAACACCCAGACACTGCTTATAGCTCAGAGGGTTGATGAACTGCAGGAGAGACTTTTAATGCATAGAACGAAGCAGCTGTGGACAATGCATGTAATATTTACATCAGTACAGACAGTGTTTTTGCTTTAACCACTTCACGGTTATTATTAGAACCATTATATTTTCAGACATTTTTGTTTCTTCATTTCAAAGATCCACTTCCATTTAAAATTCTTAATGTTCTCTTTCAAATCTTGCTTCAGTATCTCACTTTGGGACGTGGCATCTACTGCCCATAGTCCCACACTAGTCCCACACTCCCTGTAAAAATCACTTCAGCTCCTTAGAGGTCCTGATTCTGGATGATCCATTTATCTGTTTTCTGAAGCAGCCTCAAAAGAGACGAGGCACCAAGCTTTGTGCATTGGAGTTCTCGGGTCATTGTGGCCTAGAATTTGCCAACAGTGAGGTTCTAGCTCTAACTGATGTCCTGATGGTGACATACAGTCCACCTCAACCGCTGTTCCTCCCTAATTGCAACTAGGCCAACCCTCCCAGGTAAACTGGAGAGCTTCACAGCCTCTATGTACCAGAAGGTGTACAAATCCATCGTTCAGTTCAGGAAAAACCTGATTATGTTTATCCTCTCTATCTCTTACCATGCTATGCTGCTCTAGGCGATGGGACATCTTGATTCCACTATCCTCATGGGTCATACCAGACCTTGTCCTTTACATGTCTGGAGGTGCTGTTACACAACCTCTCTGGTTTCGACCTCTTGTGTCATCCTGTCTTGAGCGTCATGTGTCCCCCTGAGAATATAGACTATTTGGGTTTTGATATAAATTCTGTTTCTTTCTGAGCCGTTCTGAACCAAAACCTTGTCTTTTTTAAGAGTTTGCATTTGCCTGACAGTGCTACGGCCCTCAGTCTTTTTTTTTTGTCATTTCCCTGAGGCACCATCTAAATTACCTTGAGTTGTTTGCAGTTTTCTGGTTCTGAAAATACTCCCCAGGGGAAATTTGCTCTACAGTGTGAATACTGAACCCTAAAGTACTCAGTATGCTAAAACATGCAGTGACACATCATTTGGAGAGGACACAACCGATACTGATTAGAGTAAAGGAGCAGCAGTTGTCCCTGATTTTGATAGGCCCATACAGGCCTAGCAGACAGTAGGTGGCGAAGCTGGTGGGGCTAGCTTTGGCTGCTACCACTGTGCAGGAACTTAGTGTCACAGGCACACAGATTTTTCACCTACAGTCTGATCAGTCAGCTCTGTGGACTTAGTATATGAGAGACTAACTATAGGTGTCATTAGACTATTCAGAATAGAGTGAAAACGTATCATAGCTGTTTATCACCAGGTTTGAATGTGCAAAAAAATATCTAAATATAAAGATTACATTTTTTAATCCATAAGGAGATCAGTAGCTGTACATGACGTGAAACAATGGAAAAGATTTGCACAAATGTTTGAGAGCAAAATAAAAAAAGGTTTGCACAAAGATTTGCCGTTACACATCTGTCTGTGACTGAAAACAGTTCACACAGAAGTCAGTTGAATGTGTGAATCCCAAGTTCATGATGTCTCACTATCTTTGTCACTTGCTTATGTAATTTCCATCCAGAAGAAATCTATTCGTAAAGTAAACAGTTTAAAAGTTTTGCACTGGTATGAATAAAATTGGGGCTCAGCAGTATATGGGTAAGTGGAGACGCTAAACCATCTTTCTCTCTCATGTCTTGCTGCAGTGTGGATCAGCAGCGATGCTCCCCTTGCTCATTCTCCACAGACTGCAGACTCTTCCACCCAAACCTCTCAGCCAATGCTGGCTGCCCACACTCAGGTCACACTGCGACGGGGCAAAAACAACAGCAGGACACCGCGCCGGCCCAGACCTACCTCCATGGTGGACTACCAAAGCTATCAACACACACAACACCTGGTCAGGAAAATCCTGGAGCAGCCGGCTGTCCAGGGCTTGGCCCCCGAGGTCCAGGAGCTGGTAGACAGCATACGTAATGTCCTGCAGTCAGATCAGGAACACATGGAAGAGGCTGTCCGCTGCGCTAGTTACATTGAACAGGTAGGTGTCTGTATATACAAATTAATCATTCAAAACTGCGGACGGAGCGTTAGAACAACAATGAAAATGCAAATATTAGAATTGTGCAGTTTTTCCAATTAATAGTGGATAAAGTATGTAAAACATGTGCTGGTCATAGTAGTATTGTTGTTGAATAAACTGAGCTGGTAGTATTCTATATTATTCTTTACAAGTCCAGTGAAAAGAATAAAACTCAACAGTGAGTCTTTGAAAATGATGTTCTTTTTAAAAGGTTCAGTCTTAACAAACATCACTGAAGCAGTAAAAATTGCATTTTTGGGTGACTTTTTTGAGAGGCGCTATAATCACTGCTGCCTATTGGCTATGGAGGAGTATAAACAAACACTACAGTGACCCTGAGAGCTCAGCAACAGCAACGTAGGAAAACATGAAATATGAGCAAAAAAACCCAAAACATTGTCGCCAATTTGACAACACAGATAAACCATTTCCTTGTTTGGTTGTGTTTTCTATATTTGCAGCATTTTTTCTGTAAATGCTGTGCCAGTGTTTTCAGACTGAGGAAAGATTACTTTTATATTGTATTATTATAATGTATTTGTGTTTTGTATGTTTTCTCACATGCAGTGTACGTCAGGTCAATAAATACAAATTCATACATGATGTGTTTGTTGTGGGCAAAATCTATATCTATGAGGATGACATGAACAACGATTTCCTGTTTACTTTCAGGTGTTCACTGACTCAGTGTCGGGTCCCACTCAGCCAAAACCTCCCCGGCAGCCAAGAGGCCCTTCCCCCCAGACTTTCCCTCGCCTACCCAATAGATGGCCTAGCCTGCTGCACCTGCAGAGCTGCGGGGACCTGAGCTCCTTCAGCTGTGCAGCACTCGAGTCTCTGGAACATCAAGGAAACAGCAAAACAGCTAGACTGAGGGCAGGCTGTAGAGCGGGTACAAGAGGACGATCCCGCCTGGATCATCCGGAACGTGCTCACAGTCTGACAGGAGTCTTTAAAGAGACAGTGCTTTGAGGGAAAATTGATGTTAATAAAATATGTTGGGTGGTTACACAGTTGACTGTTGCTACTGTTGAATTTGTTGCTTAACTTTGATAGAACACTATTATAAGCCATGAACTACAAATCCAACCACTGAGGTGATGTCGGCAGATGAGTTTGTATGAATGAAGTCATACAGAGCATCATATCAGCTCTTCTGTCAACAGTAACCTAATCCTGTGGCCGCAGAAAATGGTGAAAGTTATGCAACGTAATTGGACATATCTACCTTCTTTATAAAAACTGATGGTGGCATGTGGTTGGAATAAAATTTTCCAGAAGAGACCTCTCCCACTGTTTCAATAATAGAAGTATGGTGCATATGTGTCTATTATTGATTATTTGCTTGCATACTGGTAAATGCTGTTAACAATATTATTTCTCTCAGGTGGCAAAATTTCCTGTTAACAAGAAAAAAAAGCCCTTGTAGGCTATTTTATATTTAAGAGAACACAGGGCATGTTTTTAAAAATGTAAAAAGTAAAAAAAAATAAAAAAGGCTGAAGCAGAAGCAACCCTTATATATTATTTATTTAATTATAGCACCATGGTATAAGCAAACAAAAATAATATCTTAAAATGATGATGTCCATTTACTGAAACATGTATCATTCCCTCCTTTGGTGTAGTTAACAAAATAATCTCTGTGCGCCAATTTCATGTCATCGGCACAGTACATGCAAAGACAAGAGTTGTTGTTCCACTTACCACCAGAAAAAGTATGCCCTGAAGTGCATGCTGGGGGTACAACTGGGTTATTAAATTCATTTCCATAAATCACTTTTGCTTAAAAAAAAAAATCAGGGTACCACCTTCAAGTAAAGAACAACTGATTAAATCAGAAGAGCCAATGACCATGTCAAGAGCTCATTTGAAGGACTTCAGAGTTCTGTGTAGAGGTTGGCAGCAGTCACTCTTGTGCAACATTTACCTGCCTTAACGACTCAACAATCAATTCAATTCAATTCAATTCAATTTTATTTGTATAGCGCATATTTACAACAACAAGTCATCTCATAGCGCTTCACAAAGGCAGAAACAGAAACAC